TCCGCCGCGGCTCGGCCGGCCTCGCCGGCGCCCCCGAGCCGCATTTCCGGGTTGGGGCCCGGCGGGCGGCAGCGGCCCGGCCCCGCCTCAGAGGTGGGGCGGCCCGCGCTAGCCAATCTCGGGGCCGCAGGGCGGGACGGGGCGGGAGACGCGGGGGGGCCGGGGGGGGCGGAATCTGTCATCCCTGGTGCCCACGGGGGAAACTGAGGCTCGCAGGGGCGCCAAGCTGGCCAAGGTCACGCCCGAGGCAGCGGCGGGGCTGGGCTCCCACGCGTGGTTGGGATCGGGAGCCGGGCTCTGCGCAAACGACAGACGCAACTTCGCTGCTTAGGAAACTGACCAGTGTTCACGGACGGAAATTTGGGCTATAAAATCCAATTTATAAGGCAGAAAACAATCCCATGGCATCACTGCTGATAGTCGCAGGGACACCTGCAGAACTTTTTTCTTTGCTTATGGTTTTGTGGATTTTTTTGTAGTTGTTACTGTTGATGAGATGTTGAATTTTCTTGTAGTTGTTAATGATGATGGTGTTATTGTTGGTTTTTGTGCTTGTGGTAAAGTAGACACAAAATTTACTACCTTAACCATTTTATCATCTGCCATGTGCACAGCTGAGTGGCACTAAATGCAGTCACACTGTTGTGTTATGACCATGCTGTTTTAAACAAAATCACAATCATCTTTGTTACCTCAAGGTTGCATACTTTTAAATAACCTTTTTTTCTATTTCCAAAAGAAATACATATTTATTTTGAAAAATAACAATTTAGACAATACAGAGAATAATTAGAGAAGCGAATCCATAAGCCCACTAACTGGAATTCTTGAATAGCAGTGATAGCTACTAACATTGACCCAGCTCTTATTCCTTTTTCTTTTCTTTCTTTCTTTTTTTTTTTTGGTTTAGCACTTATTCTTACTAAGAATTTTCATGCCTATGGGTACCTGGGTGGCTCAGTCAGTTAAGCGTCTGCCTTCAGCTCAGCTCATGATCCCAGCGTCCCAGCTCCCTGATGCTCAGAGGGGAGGATGCTTCTCTCTCTCCCTCTGCTGCTCCCCCTGCTTGTGCTCTCAAATAAATAAAATCTTTTTTAAAAAATAAAGAATTTTCATGCCTGATGTCTAAGTAAGCATCCCTGCTAGTGTGGCCCCTGTTTTTGAAAGGGTGAGGAAGCTGAGGCACAGTGCAGTTCTATAACTTGCCCTGGGTCTCACAGTGCCAGAACCAGGATCTTGATACCCATATGCCAGAGGCTATGCTTTGACCATTAGGCTCTACAGCCTCTGCTTGTCCAAGCTTCCAGTGTTCTGTACATGGATGCACCTTAAACAACAGTCGAAACGGTAAATATAACTCCTATTCCCCAAAAGGGCTTCTGCGGTTTGGATACTTTTTTCACTTAGCAATGCATCATCCAGTATCCCGTACAGTTCTGCTGACATCTGACCGCCATCCTCCCCCGTGGTGAGGGCTGCGGAGGACTCCACTGGAGGCAGCCTATAGCTTATAGATCCACGTACTTGATCGAGCTCCCTCCTGACACTGAACTGGTTCCGGACTTCTTCCTCATTAACAAGGCCCTGCACTCAAATTCAGGCACACCTTTATTTATTTCCTTAGGATAAATTCTCAGCAGATGGAACTGCTGGGCCAAAGTACAGGGATCCCTCTCGGGACTTTTGATACAGGGTGAAAATTGCCAACTGGTTACCCCACTCCAGACACTAACCCTCAGTGAACACAAAGACAAGGTCAAGGTAGATACCAGCTCTTACCACCATGCCAAGCCACATTCAACACTCAGTAACACTGAGAACGTTATCCTATGTCATAACCCTTAGTACAGATTAAAAGCACATCTGATTTTGCCCACAACAGCCCTGCGAGCAGGAGGTTAACTATGACCATCTCCCTCTTTCACATGAGAGAACTGAGGCTTTGGTGCCCTGCCTACTCTCAATCATATAGTAGGTCACAGAGCACAGAACTCAAAACCACCCCTGACCAACAGCAAGGCTCTGCTCTTGGCACTGCACCCAACTGCCTCCCAACAAACCCTTCTTTTGTGTTTACTGTAGCCCTTACAAAGTAATGACAACTTGTCCTCAGAGAACGCTAACCATTTTTTAAAGATTTATCTTACTTCTCATCACAACCCGAGGAGATACGTAGTATTTATTATCATCTTACGTGTGAAATTTGCCAGACCGTACACTAAATGCAGTTGCATATAAATACATAGATCTAGAGTCTAAAAAAAGATATGTACACACAAACATGAAGAGTGACCTTTCTCAAAAAGTTACTAAAGGATGTGCTCCACCAAATGATGGAGGAAACCAAGAAAGAAGAAGACATGAGATTCAGGAAACGGGAAGGAACAAAACACACAGGAAGGTGAGGAAGGCAAGTCCCAGGATTTGTCCACTTACCAAGTATGGATTCAGTCTCCCCTCCATACCAGGCACCGTGCTAGACGTTGACAATTCCCTGGCGAGCAAAACACAAAAATCTCTGCCCTCGTGAAATGCCACAGGCGGGAGGCAGGGTGGGGGAGACAAATGAATAAGCAAATCTTCCCTGATGTTAGAAGGCAGTTAGTGCTACAGGGAAGAAAGAAAATCAGCGGGGCCTCAGGAGTGCCTGGGGGAAAGGTGCAATTTTAAATGGATAATGAGGAGAAATCCCAGGATGAGAACAGGGAGCACACAGACCCAAGGGAAGCAGGCTTTGGAGGGCTCCAGAAAGAAGCTGAAAATGATAGATCCTCTCATGGCTTTCGCCACATAAAAAACTGAATTAAGAAGCTGACAGAGAGACAAGAAAACTCCAGAGGAAGAGCCCTATCAGGAAGGAAGCAAAATCACCGTTCACTAGGCGCCTCACTCTTCTCAGCTGTGAGGGATATTTACAGTCATAATACAGGTGCACGGATTCAACCAGTAATCATTCTCCTCTACCTCAGAAGGAGGAGAGGGGGCGTGAGACAGCTGAATCCACACCTCTTCTAACAGACAAGCACTAGGTAATGGCTGTAAGTGATGAGTCCAGACATAAAGCGGGAGAATATTCGTTAGAAAGATAGACATACACAGCAGAAAGAACATTTAAACTGGTACTAAGTGGGATGTGAGGAGGGGGGAGAGGTGAGGCACCGGCTGCTGTTCTGCATTACAAGCCTTTTTATTTATATTTTATTCTTTATTTTTATTTATTTATACGAGAGAGAGAGAGAGAGAGAAAGAGAGAGAGGGAGAGGGAGGGAGTGCACACAAGCAGAGGGAGAGAGAGAAGCAGACTCCCCGCTGAGCCAGGAGCCCGATGTGGGGCTCGATCCCAGGACCCTGAGATCATGACCTGAGCCGAAGGCAGACGCTTAACGACTGAGCCACCCAGGTGCCCCTACAAAGCCTTTTTACAACCATCTGGCTTCTTAAACATTGATGCAAATAAAAATTAATAAAGTGGGTGTAACTTCCTCCCAGAGATTCTAAGAAGCTCTCACTCACGAAGGCAAAACTGCAAGAATGTTCGTGACTGCGTAACTTTAACCTGAAGCAAATAACAAGAGAAAAAGAAAAAAAAGAACCAAAATACTTATGAACAAGAGAATGGAAAAATAAATTATGGTACGTTCATCCTGGAGAATTCGATGCAGCTACTGGAAAGCAGAGGGTAAAGGTCTAACGGAGAGAGTGAAGGTAAAGAGGCAAGTCACAGAATACGAACTGAACTGAGGTCTTCAGCTTTTCTTTTCTTTTTTTTTTTTTTTTTTTTTTCAGAGTCCCTCACGCCGAAGCAAGACCACGTAGTTCTTCGGGAATTCAAAGACCAACAGGGAGGGGTAAAAACCGAGAGGAACAAGTCTGCAGGGAATACTAGAGCCCCCCTGGAGCAGCAGGTGGGGCGGGCATCCTCTGTGGCCTCAGGGGAAGGTGTGAGGGGGAGAGGGGCAGGCTGGAGGCCTGCGGAAAGCCGCTGAGCAGGCAGTGGGGGCAGGGCAGGGAGCAGCCTCAGAAAGAGGAACGAGAACAGTACTCAGTTCTCATGGGGCCTCGATGGCAGCCATTGTGCAAGCCAAAAGCCAGGCCAGGCCACCCCTCTCACCTAGCGAGAGGCAGGGCACCCCTGCCATGGGTCAGGTCTGGCTGCGGATACCGGGACAGTGGGCAGGAGGGGACATGGACTCACCTGGCCCACACAGTTCACGGGCACTCTGGCTGGAGGAAGAAGAGGGACAGCCCCTGGCTCTTATCTCTCCTTTCCCTGCCCAGTGCTTCTGTCACTGGCCAAGAATGCGATGGTTTGCTTGACATTGTGAGGTCATGTTCCACCCGAGGAGGAAGAGGAGGATGCCCATAACCACCCTGGGAGAGGCTGAAAGGCTGCCGTGTGTATATACACAGCTTGTGGGGGGCGGTCAGCCCTGTGCTCCACATGGCCTGTGGCATTTCACCTGTGCCTCATTTACTGTTCTAAGTGCAGTGGCCCAAGGGAGGGAACCCAGCTTCACAGGCGACGGAACTTGCCCAGCATCACACAGCTAATGTGTTAGCCACCCAGTCCCGTGTAACAAATTATCCCCCAACTCAAGAAACCTCAAGCAACAAACATTTACGATCTCATGGTTTCTGTGGGTCAGGAACCCAGGAGCAGCTTGGCCGCGTGGTTCCGACTCAGGGTCTCTCAGGAATTCGCAGTCGAGAGGGTAGGGAAAGCTGAGCCATCTAAAGGCTTGACTTGCGGTGGGGAGGGGCACCCTGGCGGTTCCAGGGAGCTATGCATCCAACTTTTTTTTTAACATTTTTTTTTTAAAGATTTTAGTTATTTATTTGAGAGAGAGAGAGTGAGAGCTAGACAGAGAGCATGAGAGGGGGTGAGGATCAGAAGGAGAAGTAGACTCCCCGCTGAGCAGGGAGCCCGACATGGGACTCGATCCCAGGACCCTGGGATCATGATCTGACCTGAAGGCAGACGCTTAACCTACTGAGCCACCCAGGCACCCCAATAAGTAAATCTTAAAAAAGAGAGAGAGAAAGAAAGAAAGTTGCCAAAGCCAATAATTTCCAAGCCACCTGGGTAAATATCTTCTCATATAAATTGTGCTACATGGAAAAAAATATTTTAACTAAACTGGGAGACAGGAAACAGAAAGTTGCATCAAATCTCAGGTGAGGGGCGCCTAGGTGGCTCAGTCGGTTAAGCATCTGCCTTCGGCTCAGGTCATGATCCCGAGGTCTTGGGATCGGCCCCGCATTGGGCTCCCTGCTCTGCGGGGAGCCTGCTTCTCCCTCTGCCTCGGCCTTTCTCTTTCTCTGTCTCTCATGAATAAAAAAAAAAAAAAAAAAAAAAACTCAGGCGAGTAACCTTCCCTCCCTAAGTCTCAACTTCCCCAGCTGTAAAATGGGCTGATTCCAAAAATTGGTCAAAATCCCAAAGACTGAAAACATCCAGTGTTGATAAGCATGTAGTGAAAGGAGCACCTTCGTACCCTGATGATAGGAATGTAGTATCTCCTTTAGACACAGGCAGTAGGGAGCTGTGGCCCAGGCCCCTCTCTCTGGATGAGGAGGCAGGCCGAATAACAGCCCCACGAGAAATGACCATGTCCTGTTCACCCAACCTGTGAATATGTTACATCACATAGAAAGGGAAGATGATGGTTGTCAATAGCTGACCTTGAAAGAGGCAGATTATCCAGGATTATCCAGCTCGGCCCAGTGTAATCACAAGGGTCCTTAAAAGATAGAAGAGAAAGAAAGTCAGAGCCTGAATGAGGCAACATGAACAGCACGACTGGCCAGCACTGGCTTGGGCAAATGCAAGAGACTACGAAACAACCAGTGTGGGCAGCATCTGGAAGCTGGGAACGGAAGACCCCCCCCCCCAACCTCTAGGGAGAACAAGGCTCTGCCACCACTTTGATTTCAGCCCACTGAGACCTATTTCTGACTCCCACCTCCAGAGCTATAAAATAAATGTGTGTTCTTTTGAACCCCTGATTTGTGGTAATTTGTTACAGGAACACGAGAAAACGAATACACGAAAACCCGGAACCCAAAGGGCGTAAAGGAGCGCCCACACCGGGTCCCCTCCGGCCTCCTAGGCACGCTTGGGGATCTGGGGCCCCAGAGCTCCCTGCCCATCACTGCATGGTCCCTCCTCCTCGGGGCCGCTGGGGTGGGGGGCGGGGCGGGGGAGAAACCCGACTGGTCCACGCTGGGGATCTGGTTAACGTTATGAAACATCCATCTTAGGGAAGAACACTAGGGACCTTGTTCAAGTACAGAGACATTTCCACGTGTCCCCACCCAGGCAGCTTTCCGTTTCAGGCTGCTTAACTAAAAAATAGTTACTAGCAGAGCAGTATCAAAAGTACAATTCCAGTTTATGAAACAAACCAAAACATAAACGTAGGGCAAGTATGTTGGATCACGTTGGAAGGAGCACACCAAGCTCTTAATGGTGCGGGAGTGGGAGGCAAGCAAGACTCAAGGCCATCGCTCCAGGCACGCGGCTGCATGGGGACGACAGGGGGAGAAGAGGGTAAGCCTTAGGGGCCAAGCGGAGCCGCCCTTTGCCCACCCTCCCGGTGCCACACCCCCTGCTGTACCCACCCGCTCCCGCACTCCCGACCCCGGACACGCTCCGAGCTGGGGCGAGGCTGGGAGAGGCAGTGGAAGGGGGCCGGCGGGGAGCCCACACCCTACTCCCCAACGCCAATGAGGGCGGGGAGAGGAGGCTTGGGGCGCAGGGGATGCACAGGGCGGCGATGGGGAGGGAGGGGAGCGGTGGGGCGGGAAGGCGCGCAGAGAGGGAGGCGGGCGGACCGGGGCGCAGTGGGGTCCGCAGCGCGCGGGGGGCACTAGGCCCCCGGTTCCCCTGCACCCGCCGGGCCCCGCCGTCCGTGACTCTCGGCTCCGGATCGGTCCCTTAATCCGGGACAGGGTGAGAGGCGGACGCGCCCCCGAGCTGCTCGGCCGCTGCGCGTCGCTGCGCATGGCAATCCTGATTGGCCCCGGCACGGGCCCGCCCACCCTGACTCCGCAGAGCCCGTCCCCCAGGGAGGAGCCCCTCCAGCAGCAAGCCGTAGACCGGCGCGCCGCAGCACTTACCCGACCTCTGGGTCCGCTTGGACCCGGCGCTTGGGCCGCAGGCCGGGCCCGCGGCGGACAGGCTCGAGCCGGAGGCACCGTGCACCGTGCACCGCAGTTGATACCGTCTCCCCCCCACCCCCAAGCCAGTTTCTCCGGTCTGGACCACCCAGATTCTCCGGGGCCCGTCAACCCGACCAGGAGACCGAGGCTTCGGAAGGTACGCCTCAGCGCCTGGATTCGAACCCGCGTGCACTCGGCGCAGTCGGGGGCCCTCACGTGGACGCCTCCGCGGCTCCCAGGCACGGCCGCCAGGGGGCCCTCGTCCCACTCCGCGGAGTCACGACGCGCCAGCCCCGGCACAGGGTCCTAGCACCATCGGGCTCCCTGGTCCTCCCACTCACGTACAACACAGAGCAAGCCACGAAGGTGCGGGTTGCACGCCAGGTCACCTCCCCGAGGAACCCACCCCAGCTTCCCCACCTCAGTGAAAAAGTCACCCCCACCCACCAGTGACTCAGGTACACCCATAGCACCCTAGTCTACACCAACACTAGAGCATGCCTGTCTCCCCCCGCCCCGCCTCACCTGTCTCCAGCCCCACTGCCACCCTACAGCCGGCCCCTCAGAGTCTCCTTGCTGGGGGTCTAACTTAAAATGGCAGCACGTCTTGTTTAAATCCCTGCAGCCTCAGAATCAGAAGTGGAGTGGTCGGTGCCAGGCTGGAGGGGATGGGGGGGACAGGGGCAGTACCTAGAGGGAACAGAACTTCTCCTGGGGTGGTGAAATTCTGCAGATGATAGTGGTGATGGCTGCACCCCTTTCCAGCGAGGGTGCCGCTGGATCTTCGTGGGGTAGTTTCCCCGTGCCTGGAGTGCTTTTCCCAACCGGCAGGGGTGCCTCACCCCTGCTGACCCCGAGTTCAACTAGCACTTCCCAGATTCTCCACCCAGAGGCAGCGTGGTGACAGGTTTAAGGGAGGGCCCCTGGCAGGGCGGCCAGGACAAATTGTAGCTCTGGTGCTCACCAGCTCCGGAATCAGGTGCCCGCTTCCCCATCTGAGAATGGGGATGACAAACTGGAAACTCCTTTAGATTTTTGGCAGAAAAGAATGGGTTCACATTGGTAGTGCACTTAGAGTAAGGCCTAGCACCAAACAAGGCAAGTGCCCACCACTCAACTTTGAATGTGTTTTGGAGACATCCATCTGCTCCCTCCAACCAGGGTGGAGCAGGTGGCTGTCTTCCAGGAGCTGCTTTGTCACCTGCTGGGCCTAGAAGTCCCTGCACCCCACGGGCATGTGGCCTGAGACCCAGTCCCCTGGTACCCCTGCAGGTGGCCTTTCCTGAGCCTTGCCTTACAGTGCTGGTTCTCCCCAGGCTGCTCACCCTCAAACACAGCCAGGACCCGTGGCCGTTTTTGTCACTTTGGGCCTGGAGACGCTTCTCTGTGGCAGAGGCAAGGGGAATGGTGGCCAAGCCACACACCACGGCGTCCTGGGACACTCGCCTTCAACCTCCTATTCCAAGGACTACAGCCATGAGAAAGGGGGGAGGTGCTGCCCACCCCAGGACACGATGGGGGAGAAAGTCAACCCCAGATCTGGAGCTACACCAACCCCTGCCATCCGACCCCCATGTCATGGCTGTCCTCAGGACCTGCACAGCTCCCCAGAGCCCACCTGCCCCATTAGCTATCCTTCCCAGAGAACACAACAGCCCACGCTCCCAGGACCGAGGGGACATGGAAGGCTGTGGGATGACACTAACGGACAAATAGTTGCAGGGCTCAGGACACTGATGACCCCCAAGCTGCCCACGAGCACCAGGCAGGGTCACACCCAGCTGTGCAAACACCAGGGTACAAGGGGATCATCGTGCCCACCTGGGAGTAGGGTCAGAAGGGGTTGTTCAGAAAAAACACACCAGAAAGTGGAGCCTTGATTATCCCAAGGGCTCAAAGAAGTAGGGCTGCGGGGCTGGGCGAGGAGCAGTGGCCAGGGTCAGCTCAGAGGCCCCTGGCCACTGCTTCCTGCACTCACAGCCAGGCGAGCTGGGGTCCTGAGGCTGGCGCGGATGCCCCCTGAAGGCTGGGGAGGAGCACCTGGCACTGTGCCCAGGCCCGGCACTATGGCCCTGGCCCCCCCTTTGCCTGCCCAACTCAAGGGTACAGAGAGTGACCCCTGGGACATCCTCATGCAGTAGCCCTCCGAACCCTCCACGCTGCCCACCTGAGGCCCCTCCTACACCCAGCTCCTCCAGCCTCAGCTCCTAACTTGCCTGCACAGCCAGTTCTCTCCTTGTTTAAAACCGCAAGAAGTACCCTTTCCCCTCAGTCCCCTGACACGTGAACTTCTGAAGCTAACTGCACTCTGTCCCCAAGCCCCTTCCTGTCCACTTCCCAACCTATAGCCCAGGACTTCCCCACCCACCCTCCAATCATTTCCAACCAGCACCTCTGCCTGTGGGTCTGCAGGCCTCAGACACATCTGTGCCACAGACAGGGGCCTCCACAGAGCTGGGAGGAGCCAGAATCCAGCCACTCCCACTCCCCCCCCCCACACACACCACCACCCAGACAGCCACCAAGGTGACGGCGCCCTGCTTTGAAGCAACACTCGGAGACCAGACAAGTCCCTGCTGGGCGCGTGTTTATCCAGCTGCCTCCTGAGCGGAGGCCTCCACCTGGGGCAGGGCGCCCACTCGCTCCCTGGAGACCAGCTCCTCCACGGCTCAGCCCTGACCGCATCCAGCTAAGGCTGGGCATCCTTTCCGGCTGTGGTCCTCGGTCACTGCCTGGCCTCTTCCGCCTGCCACACCAACTCGCCCGAGATGTAGGTGGCCCGCACGTGGAGAGAGTCATCGAGCACCACGAAGTCTGGGTCAGAGGCAGGTGGTGAGGTGGCGGCAGGGGTGGGTGGGCCCACCGCCACCCCAATCCCCAGCCAGCTTCCAGGAGCTTCATCACCCCTAAGAGAAGCTCTGTTCCCCTCCCCACCCCTGCCCAGGAGCTGGTGGGAAAACTGAAGCCTGCAACACGATTTGGACAGGGCACCCCAACCCATCGCAGGCTGGCCAAGGTCCTGGAGCCAGTCACTATTCCTGGCAGTAGGGCACAAGAGACAAAGGCCCCAGCAGCCCCTCAGCCAGCCTTGTTCCATATACCAGAAAGCCGGCCTGATGGGAAAAAGGGCCCAGGCTGAGGTTGGTGGTGGGCAAGGCCATCTGGGCACAGGGAAGATTCCACCTGCCCTAGCACTGTCCCAAGTCCCTGGGAGCTCTCAAGTCTTCAGTGGCCTGGGCGCCCACATCAGGCCCTGACCTGCATCGGCCCCGAAGTCCAGGGTGCCCTTGCGCTTCTCCAGCCCCAGCAGCTGAGCGGGGTGCAGGGACGCAGCCTCCAGGGCCAACTCCACACTGCAGCCTGCTCAGGGGACATAACTGGGTAACTATCCCCCATCCCAGCTCGGCCAGCAGCCCCTCCCCCACCCCACAGCCCCAAGCTCCAGTCTGAGGACACTGCTGGGGACCCTTTTCCTGCTCTCTCACCCATCCCAGCCCGGCAGGCCTCCTGTCCTCACAGACAGACACTCTGGATCCAAAGGCCTGCAGGCCCCTCCTCCTTTGAGGTCCCAGGTAGAAAACCCCCACAAAGAAGCAGTAGCCTGGGCCATCGATGAAGCCACCTGGTCTTGCCTTTCTAACCCTGCTACCCCTCAAGAGGTCACACGACTAAACCCCATTCATTCTGTTCCCCACATCACCCCCCCAGCTGCCAGGCCAAAGTCATTTCCTGCGTCCTGGCTTGTCTCCCTGCTGCTCTAAACAGCACGCTGAGCCCTGATGCCCCCAGGTGACACCCCAGCCCCAGGGCACTACCAAGAATCCCACAGGACCTGGCCAACCACAGCCTCTGCCAGACACCCCTTCCCACCCCACCAACAACAGGCCCAGCCCCTTATAGAAGCCTGGAACAAAGCTCTGACCCTCACCTCATCTCCCTAGCTCTGGACCCATGAAGTCCCGTGCGCCCACAGGGTCCGAGACCAAAGCCCTTGCTGTGGGTAAGGCATGGGCCATTCCCCTCGCGGGTGCCACGGCTTCACTTCCATCACCCTGGGTCCCAGTCTGCCAGGAGTTCCCTGCAGGGGGATCTCGGCCACATTCCTGGTGCTCGTCCCCTGGGAACTCCGCCAGACGAAGAATGTGGGTGCAAGACTCTCTGTGCTTCCCTCTCACCTCTCCCAAACGTGGCTTCTACCCTCTGTGCGCGCGCACACGCGTGTGCACACCCCCACCCCCACGCCAGCCGCACTGACCTGTGGCCTGCAGGAAGTGCCGGACGCACACGTCCATCGGGGCTATGCTGCCACTCAGCGTCTTGGTGCCTTCAGAGCAGAGAGGGCAGGCTCTGGGGGACCAGAGGCCACCAGGCACGTGGTGGGGGGTCGGCAGTGGGCTGGGGGGGGAACAGCAGGCCGGCAGGGAACACCCAGATTCCTGCATCCCACAAGAGGCCGAGGGGCTGTTCTCGTGGGGGCAGTTGGCGGGGCCAAGAGGATAGCTCACCTGCCACGTAGGCTGTCAGCCCATCTACTTCCACCTCCTGCTGCCCCAGTGTGTGACGGCCGTTGCCCAAGCCCAGGGCAGGAATGGCATCGGTGACCAACACCAGCCCTGCGGGAGGAAGGGGCCTTAGACCTACCCCGCGGCAGCCTCCCTGCTGCCCCCATCCTGCCCCGCCACTCACCCTGGGGATGGGCCCGGTGGGCAATGCGCAGGGCAGCAGGGTTGGTGTGCATGCCGTCAGCGATCATCCCGTAGAAGATGTGGCGGCCTCGTGGCAGCCGGTCACTGGTCAGGAGCCCCACGATCCCTGGGTCACGGTGGTGGAACTGGGCAGGGTTAGGAGGGAGCAGCTGAGCGACAGCAGGAGCCCTTGCGCCTGCCCGTGGGACTTGGGGGGGTTACTCACAGGCAGCATGGCATTGAAGAGGTGGGTGATGAAGGTGGCCCCACACTGCACAGCTTCCTCTGCGGCCTGCAGGTCGGCCACCGAGTGTCCTGCATGGGGGACCTGTAATCAAACTACGCACCCAGCCCAGGACGCCCATGTGGGCCCAACCCTGGGGGCGGCCCCCCTCACCTAGGGACACACAGATGCCACGGGCCGCCAGTGCCCGTATCACCTCTCGGCTCCGGCCCAGCTCGGGGGCCAGCGTCACGATGCGGACGTTGTCCAGGGGCCCGTAGGTGGCTAGTACATCATGGAAGGCGTTGGCCTCAAAGGAGCGCAGGTGGGCTTCGGGGTGTGCACCTCGCTTCTCCCGGCTGATGAATGGGCCCTCCAGGTGCACCCCTGGGAGGAGGGGAGTGGATGGCTCCAGCACGCCTCCTGCCCCGCAGCCCCCACCCTGGCCCCTGTCACCTGCCCGACCTCCCTCCCCAGTTGGGCCTCTGGAGGGGGAGGGGCTGCCAACAGGTCCCCAAGGAGCCTCCCAGGGTGGGGGCAGGGAGAGGGGTCAGCCACTCACCGAGGACCCCTGCCCCATGGGGACCACCACTCTTCACAGGGATCTGAGGAAGGACCTGGGGGGAACCAGCTGTTAAAGCCCTACCCAGAGGTCACAGCCCAGCCAAGGTCAGAGATCAGCCCCCGATGGCCTTCCCTCAGGTATCAGAAGGGAGTCAAAGGCCCCCAACCGTGGTCAGGGAAAGCACAGCACTGGGAACCATGAGGACGTGGAGGAGCCGTGGGGGATGCACGGCCAGCTGCCTGCAAGGACCAGGACAGGACGAAAGAGCTCCTGCGCAGAGGGCAAGCACATGGACAGAAGGCAACCCCACTGCCCTGGCCCGTCCGGGTGGCCCCAGTCCAGGTAGCAGCTGGGACAGAGTGGGTGGCATGCTCAGAGGGTCTGGACCCAGACAGGCTGACAGGCCCGGCCTCTTGGGCTGCAGGACCAGAAGCAAGGTCAGAGGCAGGAGGAGGTTGTGCACTCCAGGCAGAGTGAGTGCAGAAGCAGGGGCTCAGTGGCCGGAGAGCTCGGTGCAGATGGGGCTGGGGGCTCGGGCATCAACGGCACGGCCGCACCGTGCCTGAGCTCAACACCATCGGGAAGGTCACTTGTGCGTTAACAGGCGCTCATGTGACCCACCTCGGAAGCAGACAGGCAGGCAGGCGTCCCAGCCCACACCTTCCTCGGGAAGGAACGTGGAGAAGGGAGTGGACGGGGAGCCCCACAGGACAGCAGAGTCCATGGGCTGAGCTGCTGGACGAACACGCCAGCCTGCGGAGCTCCCCCGTTCCAGACAAGCTAAAGGGATTCGGGGGAGGCGGAAACGTCGTGTTAACGCGCAAGACGAGAGAAGAGCAGAACCGTCCGGGGAGGCTGAGGAGCGACGCTGGGCAGACACGGGCAGGCACACGTGGGGGACACGGCCAGCACAGACGCTGCGCTGCAGGCCTTTGGCCATGCCTGGTGGCTTGAGAAGTAGGGGGACCACAACCGACACGTCATCGAAGAGCAGCAGTGTCCCCACATGTGCCCAGCAAGCACCTGGAGAAGTAAACCAGGAGGTCTCCAGGAGAGAGGTGGGTTGAGGCGCACACACCCAGCAATTAAGTGGAAGTTTACGCTCTTGACACGCTCAGCATGCAGCCAGTGAGGCCTGTTCTCGCTGAGTAGGAACCTCAACTAAGGGTGCCCCCAGGAAGCTCTGCAGGCTTGGGGCTCCCAGCAGCCTGCTGGTGCCCATCTCAAACAGAGCCAATAACTGAGGCTCAGAGCAGATAACCGAGGCTCAGCAGCAGCTCGGAGAAGCCTCCAAGGACACACGGGACAGACAGGGCAGGGCCGGTGGGCACAGGAAGACACGTGAGGAGAGGTCTTGCACCCATGAGACGAGAACGGAGCATCAGCAGGAAACATTCTGAGGAAGAAAGCAAGCTTTTCCAAGTTAAAACTACGTGAGTGGTGAAGCAAAAAACCCCAGAGAAGAACCGCAGGATAACAACGGAGCAAACAGCAAGAAAGCAGAGTCAGAGGAAGAATTAGAGAATCCATCCAGAAGGCCTAACAGCAGAATGATGGCTCCCAGAAGGAGACGACAGAGAACACAGTAAAAAATCACAAAGAAGTTATTCAAGACAAGCACCGAAAACCAGACTTGAGACAGCTAGGCCATGCTGCGGGCTAGCACTACTGATGACCTCCCCCCAGGCCCCACCTGGGTCCCCCTCAGGTTTCAGAACCCAGGGCCAAAAGGAAGGTTCCACAAGCCTCCAGAGGGAAGAAATCGGTCACGCACAAAGTATCAGAGGTCAGGTGGCTTCTGACTTCTCAGCAGCAACCCTGGCAGTTAAAAGACAACACAGCAATGCCTTTAAAATTCTAGAGCAAAGTCACTTCTAACATAGAACCGGAACCCAAGGGGCGCCTGGGTGGCTCAGATGGTTAAGCGTCTGCCTTCAGCTCAGATCATGATCCCAGGATCCTGGGATCGAGCCCCGCATCGGGCTCCCTGCTCAGCGGGGAGTCTGCTTCTCCCCCTGCTCATGCACTCTATCTCTGTGTCTCCAACGAATAAAAAAAAAAAAAAAATCGTTAAAAAAAAAAAAAACTGGAACCCAATCAAGAGAGCAAAAACAGGGGCGCCTGGGTGGCTCAGTCGGTTAAGCGTCTGACTCTTGATTTCGGATCAGGTCATGGTCTTGAGATCATGAGATGGAGTCCCATGTCAGGTTCCATGCTCAGCGGGGAGTCTGCTTGGGGTTCTTTCCTTCTCCCTCTCCCTCACTTGCTCTCTAAAATAAATAAATCTTTGGGGTGCCTGGGTGGCTCAGTCGTCAAGTGTCTGCTTTTGGCTCAGGTCATGATCCCAGGGTCCTGGGATCGAGCCCCGCATTGGGCTCCCTGCTCCACGGGAAGCCTGCTTCTCCCTCTCCCACTGCCCCTGCTTGTGTTCCCTCTCTCGGTATGCCTCTGTCAAAAAAATAAATAAAGTTAAATAAATAAATCTAAAAAAAAAAAAGAGAGAGTGTGTGTGTAAACGCATTCTCAGGCCTTCAAGATCTTGAAAACTGCACCTCCCGTGACTCCTTTCTCTAGCGGAAGCTGGTAAATGTGCTCCAAAGTGAAGGCATAAACTGGCAAAGAGGAAGACCCAGGATGGGGGACAGAGGCCCAGCAGAAAGACGCGAGGGGACCCCCCACTTCCCAGGTGAGGGGAAGGGAGCTGCCAGGACAGCTCGGCCCAAGGAGGCCAGCAGCTGGTGCTGGGAAACGGGTCCCAGAGGCTGCCGCAGGAAGGCAACACTGATGGAGCGCCTGGCGCACCCAGACGTCCCGAAAGAAGAGTGAGCCACTGGCAGGAAGCCTGAAGTTGAGTCACGAGATAAGGGAATGGAGCAAAGAGCAGGAATTCCAAGGAAAACACAGCAGCCAGGTAAGAAAATGGGACCACACGGAATTCCCTTCACCCAGTCCTGCCGACTGACCTCCCCAAGACTGCAGGCGGCTATGTGGGGAGGACGGGTGCATCCTCTGCTCTTCGGCTGGGAAGCAGACACACACATACACCACCCTAAACTGAGAAGTGAAAAAGGAGTACCAGCACGTACTCAGAGAGAGGAGAGCAAACTCCAAGAATCAGCCGAGCCGAAAGGGACTGTCTCTAAATGGGAGCCTGTGGGGGCAAAGGGCTGCGGGCTTTCCTAACAAGCCACGGAGAGGTGTAAGTTCACTAAAGGTTAAAAAAAAAAAGAAGATAAGATAACGGTTGAGATTTTCTAGAACAGATTTTTCCCCCTGAAACGGGTGGGCATGCGTGTCAGAGGCTGGGCAGCTCTGGAACACATCCCCTACACCCCTTGCCTTCAGCCCGCCCATCTGTACAAAGGACAGCACGAGGTCTGTTGCCCACATTCCACCAGGAGACCCTGTTGTGATGAGTGTCAGGTTTCTCCGAAGTCTTCCGAGGAAGCTCAGCACCAGACACAAGGTTCTTGTGAGATGAGGGGGGTGGGGAATACCTCAACCCAAGGGGTGGGTGGGACTGTGGGTGAAGCCTTAGACTCCTGTCTTTGCAGGGAAGGCACCATGTGGCACATTCTAGGGGGTTCTGCACAGGGTCTCCCCTGGGAATGACACACAGGGAGAAGGGATCCGCTCAATGCTATGCCCGTTGCTGGCTGTTCTCCCCACCTGGGCTCACATACATCACTCTCACTCCTGTAACCTCTAAGTCTCAGATTCAGAACTCGAAGTTCAAATGACATACTCAGGGTTTACTTCACACTTCAAAACAAAACAGAGTTTTACAAGGAAAAGCTAGAGAACACTGGGGCACCTCGGTGGCTCAGTCGTTAAGCGTCTGCCTTCAGCTCAGGTCATGATCCCAGGGTCCTGGGGTCGAGCCTCACATCGGGCTCCCTGCTCGGCGGGAAGCCTGCTTCTCCCTCTCCCACTGCCCCTGCTTGTGTTCCCTCTCTCACTGTGTCTCTGTCAAATAAATAAAATCTTAGAAAAAAAAAAAAAAGGCTAGAGAATGCTAAATAGGGAGAACAGCATAAATGACAGCATGGAGGTAGAGAAAAGGAGGCATGTTTCAGGCAGGAAAGCACAGGTAAGGTCAAAGGATAGAGGGCGTGTGGGACCAGAGATAAAGGTCGGCCTGCCGCCTGAGGAGATACTAGATCGTGGCGAAGCAGATGATGCACTTGAAGCCGAGAACAATGCAATCAAATCTTTCTCCTGGAAGACTATCAAAGTGTAAGGCTAGAGAAGACCTCAGAAAAGGACCAGGTGGTCTCAGTGGACCAGAACGCAATGACAAAGGATCTGGTTACCTTCTGACAAAGAAGCAATACAGTTCCAGGGCGCCTGGGTGGCTCAGTTGGTTAAGCGACTGCCTTCGGCTCAGGTCATGATCCTGGAGTCCTGGGATCGAGTCCCGCATTGGGCTCCCTGCTCAGCAAGGAGTCTGCTTCTCCCTCTGACCCTCCCCCCTCTCATGCTCTATCTCATTCTCTCTCTCAAACAAATAAATAAAATCTTTTAAAAAAAACAAAGAAGCAATACAGTTCCACGCAGTGTGAGGCAGTCCTGGAAGAAGATGGGTAGATGGGGGTGGGAAGACATCCCAGTGAACCGTCCTGTAGTTTCCTAGATGATGCCGAAATCAAATTTTCACATTCACCGCCCTCCACGACTACTTTCTGCTGCCCAAGGCCTTCATCCTGCAGGTGTTCATGGTGGATAACACGTTCCAGCAAGACGACACAAGCTAGAAGTCCCCGTGTCCGGAAACCCCCTGTCCTAAAGAAAAAGACCTCACCATCTGTGTGGCGATGGTCAGATGGGCTGTTGAAGGCATGGCCGGTGTATGGCAACACAGCAGAACCAAAGAGGAGGCAATAGATAGAACAAGGCAAAGGCCTTCCAGGCAGACGGCTTGGAGGCAGGAGAGAGAACAGCCTAGAATGGCTGAAATGTGCCTAGGGAGAGGACCAAGGCTCAGGCAGGTAGGGAAGAAATGCTCAGGAGGCTGGGGTTTACCCTGATAAAAGGGGAGGGGTGGGGGTGAGTGAGGCGCTGAGCCCTGTACCTTGGGAAGGCCCCTATGGCAGGACTCAGAGCAGGGAGAGCAGTTGGGAGACTAGGGAACAGTCACTAAGCCTCACTGGTGGGGCCCAGGAAGGGGGAGGACAAAGAACACAGAAACAATAAAGTGGGCACGTTCCTAGGTTCCAAGCAAGGGAAAGCATGGACGGATGACCAGGAGGGAAAACACAGAACCAGGTGCTAGTTTCCAAGCAGCAAAGTGAACTTAGTTTTTAACATCTGACTCTGTGATGGGAGGCCTGGGGAAATTTCCCAAAAACACGTCCACAGTTGACAGTTTGCCAAGTGCTTAATACAGACCACACACAGTGCTGAGTACCCTAACCCCAAGACATGGACAGGGTCGTCATGCTCAATTTAGACTTGAGAAAACAAAAGACCCAAAAACAACTAATGGCTGTCTCGAGTCCCCCAGCTGACAGATGAAGTTAAGGGGCCTGGACCAAACCCAAAGCCCACACCCGACCTCCCCCAACACCCAGCTTGGACTCTGTGTCCACACACCCAGGAGGGACTCCTGGACGGGTGATGTGATCCATCATTGCAGTAAAGAGCCTGTGCTGGAGAAAACCACCACCCCGGAACAAAGATGAGGGATTACAACCTATCTGCTACCCTCCTAAACTCAACTTGGGTAATGGAACAGCCACGCTTTTCAAAACTCGTTAGGCATCAAGCAGTCCAGAGACACGAGGAACACAGCCTGCTCTCCAACAGTTCAGGAAGAAAGAACATCGTGCCCACAGAGAGGAGAAAACCCAACAATAAAATGACGTAAAGAATAAAACCAGAGAACCCCTGTGAAAAATAAACATGGTTCCAGGAGAATGGGCAGATAAACAGGAGGAAAAACTGGGAGGTGTGGGGGTAGATGAGAGCAGCACGGAGGGAGGACGGACTGGGGAGGACGGACTGGGGCGGCCGGGCGGATAGTGGAGCTTCTTTCTGGAAAGCACACTCACGGGAGTCACAGAGCACAGACAGGTTAGGGGAGATGAGCCTGAGAGCAGCTATGGATGTGGCAATCACGAAGTCCGAGGAACCGGTTTCTGGAGCCTGGAGCCGGCCAGAGGGCAGCGCAGAAAGGACGTGTAGCCGGGAAGACGCTGAGGCGACAGCAGTGAAGGCCTATGGGACAGCTGCAGAGGCAGGGAGACTCTCCCGCTGGGGGGAACACCCGAATGAGAAAGCCTAGGGGCAGGGCCCCAGCCCCATATGGAAGAAAGCCAGCAGGTAAAGCCAGATGCTAGGACTAAGAGGTGTCTGTGGGAACACAGATTTGAAAAATAAAATACTGCTGCTTCTGGAGCCCCCTTTCCTTGAGACCGGGAGCCTGACCTCACCTTGTGATAAACCTCCGGTGGTGAAGTGACCAAAGTGGGGCAGAAGGAGGTGACTCCGTGCGACAAGATCCTCCGGGCCACCAGGGCGACCCCCGAACCCACGTCCTCCGTGGCCTGGGAGAAGTCAACGCCAAATCCACCTACAGCCAGAGAGGAAGGTCGCACGGTGCCCCGACCACCTTCTCTGGGTCCCCACCCCGAGCCCTAGGCCGCACCGTTGATCTGCACGTCGATGAAGCCGGGCGCCAGGATGCAGCCCCCGCAGTCCCGCTGCTCATCCGCCACTCGTCGCTCCTCAAAAAACAGCTTCTCCGGGTCCAGAATGCGGCCTTCACGCACCCACAAATCCTCCCTGCGGCCAGAGCCGGGCGGGGGCTAAGATCGCCTATCCCGCACGCACGCTGCGTCCCACCCGAGCAGCTTCCGGCCCCGCACCCCACGCGGCCCCGGGTTCCACCCGAGCAGCGCCCGGCCGCGCACCCCGCGCCGCACCTCTGAGCAGCTCCCGGGCCCCCGCTGAGCAGCGCCCGACCCCGCACCCCGCGCCGCACCGCTGAGCAGCGCCCGGCCCCGCACCCCACACCTGAGCAGCGCCCGGTCTCGGAGGATGCGGCAGTTGGTGAACTGGAGCACCGGGGCCCGCGCCTCGTCCTGCCCGCCGCGCATCGTGAGCCACCCGAGCGGGCACTTGCCCGGAGCCCCACAGCCGAACCCCGCTCCCCGCGCACCCCGCCGACTGCGGGCAGCGGAGCTCCGGCCGCGCCCACGTGACCCTCAGCTGACTGGGGCGTGCCACGTGACGACACGTCCACGTGACCCGTCCGCCCACGTGACCGGCGCGCCCCTCGGTCGTCCTGACGCCGCGGCCCCTACTTGTGCCCGCCCTCGCCCCCCCCCCCCCAAAACCGGGCCCACACAAGCGGTCCACACAGGCGTCCAGTCACAACCGAGAACTTTATTGGACACGGCTCGGCTCAGGGCCTGGCAGGCCCAGCGCACTGGCCCCGCGGCCCCGGGCAGGCGGGGCTGGAGGAGGGTGGTTCCATCCAACGAGTCTCAGAGCAAACGGTAACCCCACAACGCAACACTACCTAAGATAACTATATAGTTGGGAGACGAAGGGCTGCTCCACAGACGTATGAACAGATCAAATCTTTATAAATAATAAACATCCAGTGAAGAGAAAATGACAACTCTAATTCATTCTTATACACAGAGCACTCTAGGGCAGGTGAGTAGGGGCGGCAGAGGCCTGCATCCTCACTGGTCGGGGGCCTGGATGGGTAATGAGTGGGCCCAGATGTCCACGGCACGGGGCGGGCGGGGGCAAGGCCGGGGTAACAGACGATGGGCACTAGGACACTGCGCATTTACAAGACCAACTACTGGGGGGTCGGCTGCCCCGTGCATGTGTGTCAGGCTGTTCATTTTGGAATGAGGGGATGGTCTTTACATCATATTCTGTGGCTGGTGCGCTCGGAGAGGGGCTACTTTGTGGAGAGGATGAGGGCAACAATGAGACCGTAGAGGCCGAGCACCTCGGCGAAGATGAGGATCAGGATCATGCCCACGAATAGCCGGGGCTGCTGGGCAGTGCCACGCACACCAGCGTCCCCCACGATGCCAATGGCAAAGCCAGCCGCCAGCCCACTCAGGCCCACACTCAGGCCAGCACCCAACTGGAGGAAACTCCTGGGGGAGAGAGGACACAGGAGAGATGTTAGCCACCTGCTGGGGAGGAAACCGCCCACCCAACACCCCGTCCCCGGCCCTCCCTGCCCTGTGCAGTGGCCTGACCCCAAGCAGGGCAAGGACAGGCAGGAGGGACCCAGCACTCACCTGTAGAGGCTGATGCCTTCATTGAGGGAATTAGCGATGAGGACTGCCACCACCAGCCCATAGATGGCGATGATACCAGCCATGACCACTGGGATGATGGACTTCATGATCAGTTCTGGCCGCATGACGGACATGGCCGCGATGCCGGTGCCACTCTTGGCTGTACCATAGGCGGCACCCAGGGCTGTGGGGAGGGCGGGGGGAAGCCGGGTGAGCTCAGAGCAGCCGGGGCCAGGACCCAGGGAGTAGGTCTAGCACAGTTGAGGGACCCCTAAGTTATCACAGAGGGGACATGAAGCTGGCACCCAGCCAGGTGGCCCTCAGGGGCAACAGCCCCAGCCAGGCACGCAACGAGCCCGGGTAGCCCTTTCTCCACCAGAGGCCCTTGTGGCTGTGCGGCCTATCTGGGCTTCGCCTCTGCTGAGAGAGGTCGGCCCCACCCCCCAGGGAGCCTCCGTGTAGCGGCCCGCAGCCTACAAGTGGAGCTGTGACAGGTCCTGCAGTCCAGTCACATAGACAAAAGGGCAACTGGGCCGCTCAAGCCTTGCTGAAGCATCCGGACACTTTTTTTTTTTTTTTAACCACCTGGAGTCCTGGACATTCAGGTCAGAAATGGCCTGGCAAAGCAGCAGGTGACTACATCTCAGCAGCCCAAATGTCAGGCCAGGATCAGCCTGTCTGCCTTGGGGCTCCACCCAGGGACAACATGCTGGAAGATCCTCACCGCACACAGGGCCCGACAAGTCCTATCTTGGGCCAGAGGTTTCCCAACTCCCCACTGCGCCCAGCCCTCCAGGAGGGCTAGCATCTGTTGTCAACAGGCTGAGTGCATCCTCGAGTGTGGAAAGAATACTCTCTAAATACCATAAAAAGGGCGAGCCAGGAGAGGACAGGGCACAGGGAGCCATCACCTGGGCAGACCTCCCAGAAGCACCCCTGCATGCACAGAGGCCTTGAGCTCACAGAAGCCTAGATTCCCTAAGGCCTCTTATAACCGGGGTGGGGAGGAAACTCTAGCGTGGCCTGTCTCCTCTGATGCTATTCCTCCTCCCTCTTGCTAGATAGGGGGTGCAGCCTTCCTGAAAGTTCCCTTCTCCTGGCCTCAAAGTCTAGAGTAACTTTTGTATAGAACAGAGCCACAGGGGGCCCCGGGGGCTCTTCTGACTCCTGCCCTCCAGGATCCAACTGCACTGCGTGAGCAGAGATTAACACGGCTCACAGGTGGAAAAGACGAGGATGACCATTTTTCAGCATGTTTTATTCACCTGCTTGGGCCACAGAAAAAAATGACTACTTTATGCTCATCACCAAGCAGTGAGGAGGTCCGAGGAGCTCTAGCTTCCCAGGGCCCCAAGCCTGGTGAGGACATATATGGCACCTCCGAGCACAGCAACATGTTCTAGAAGAGTGGGGAGGCCGGTGGGGGAGTCTGGGGAAGGGGTCCATAGAGAAAATGACCTTGGGTAGAGGTGTGAAAGAGCAAAAAGGATTGCAGACATGAATGGAGACATGCACGAATGTGGCACCAGATTGGAAGCTACTGGAAAGAGGAAAGAGGTAGGGGTGGGAGCAGAGGGACCTGTACTACCTCCGCCACTCGGTCCCAAAGGCACTCAGCACCATCAACCCACAGCTCGGGGGCTGGTCTTCAAGTTTTCCGGAACTCTCCTGGTCACAGTGCATTTGAGGGGCTCCTACTGCAGGCCCAGCACCACATCATGCGGTGTCACATGCACGCAAGGGGCCAGCGCCATGGCCTGTTACTCAAGCAGGAGAGCACAGATGATGTGTGGAACTGAGTGAGAACGGATTACTGGGAAGTCAGCATCCCAGATGGTAGGACACGGCCAGACGTGGAAAGTGAGCTGGGCCCTTCTCCAGGAGGTGGCAGGAAGATAGTGTGGCTGGGGTGGGGAGGCAACAGGAACAACAAAGGGATGAAAAAGGGCCGACCACGAGGGAAAAGCAGCCTGGCCTGGGCAGCAGCAGGTGTCCACAAAGGCCCTGGATGCTAGCTCTGAAGACCAAGCCCGACAAGGTCCCAGATCGAGCAGAGGACAGAAAAGAGTGCAATCAGGAGGCAATTCCAGGAACAAAGCACCAAAGGCAGGGTGCCTGCCAGCAGGGAGGAAGTCAAAGAGATTACGGAAAAGGGGCAACAAGACAGCCTGTGGAAGACTTGATGAAGAAAGAATGGGCAGGACTTTTGTCACAACAAAAAAGGGGAAGCAGGAAGGGAGACTGGGCCCTGGAGGAGCAGGCAGCACCAATCCTCAGGGGCCTGGGGCAACCAAAAAAGAGCCCCAGACCACTGATACTGGTTCTCAGTAACTTCCAGAGACCTGCTTTTGGGTCAAGCTCCATCTGAAAGTATCAGGTTCAGTTCTCGGAGAGGAAGAGATGTACTGGTGACTGGAGGCAGGCCAGTAGCTGGGTACAGAAAAAGGGTTAAGGGGGAAACTCAGGGTTTCAGGAACAAACAATGACAGCCAGAACTCAAGGAATTCTGGGGCAGGAACATCCTGTTGTTCACTGATGTTCCCCTGTGCCTGGCACATAGTAGGAGCTCAATCAAGATTTGCTGAATGAACAAATGACAGCCCCAAATAACCCACAGGTGGCCAGCCAAAGTAGAATTTCTGAAGGCATTCTGGAGGCAAAGAGCAGAAAAGGCTGGGGGGAAGCGGGTCACAGCAGCCTGTTCAGAAGTGCTGGAGAGTAGGCAGCCCCTGAAGATGTGGAAAGAGCAGGCGTTGGCTGGGAGGGAAGGGGAAGTCCAGACCACTTCTCCCACCACAAATGACCCCTTACTTGCACGTGATGGGAAGGGAAGGGCAGGGCAGGGCAGGGCAGGGCTCACTCAGCAACTCATGACTGGCAGACAGGCCCAGGTAGAGGCGTCAAGAGAGCAGAGTCCCCAGGCCCCTACCCCACACGTGTTTACAGTCAGCAGAGACTGTTTGGAGTTCAAACCCTCCCCTTACTTGTGTAGTGAGCCTCCCCAGTCCACCAGGTAGGGTGGGGCAGGGCGGAGTCATCAAAACCAAAAACCAGACCTACCCAAGAAGGCCCAGAGGAGACCAGGTCAGACCAGTCCACAGGGTTGCAGCAGGCCTAGGACTAACCTTCCTGGGTTCCACATTCCTGGGCCTGGCCCACGTGCCTATCTCCCAGATAGGCCAATTTTCACTTAATTCAACACCCTATGACCATCAAGACCCAACTTCAAGAGGAGGGTGCTATGAGAACCTGGAAGGCCCCTTCTCTTTACTGAGAGGAGCACTCCCCATTTTGGGCCTCAGGAAAGGGAAGTCATTCGCTCCTTCATTCATTGATTCAGGGCTGAACTAAAAGACTCCCTTCTAAGGACAAAGACCCAATTCCCCCCTCAACGTTGACACTTCATGCCACCCTCTCACTCACCCAGAGGTAGACTCTTGGCAAGTGTGCACACACACAGTGTTGTTGCTCGCCTGCCTCCCAGACACCCATCCTTGGCCCTTAGCCTGTCCGGACCACCACCCCCATTCCACACAATCCCACGCCTGGGTTTCTGCCAGCTCTTAGGGCCACCCCTCAGCCCAGTTTTCCCAAGCTATCCACACATCCCACAGGATTACTCGTAAACAGTGACAGGCCCTAACTGGAAGCACCTGCCTCTGAGTACAGACCCACTTGACCCCCGCCGGGGGGCCGGGCCGCCACAAAGGCCATAAGGGCCAGAGCTGTGTACCTCGGAGGAGAGAGCCAGGACCTCATCCATCCCCTGCCCCCACCTCCGCCGAACAGGGCCGGCCCCGCGTCGCGGGAGCTTTCCGAGGTGTGATGTCACACCTGCCCGCAGGATTGGGGGGGGGTGCGGAGCAGGCGCAGGACCGCGCGCCCCCACCCCAGCCTTCCTCCCGCCTC